GATTCAGGGCAGGGGTGTAACGCTTTGACTCTTCAACGCGAGACAGAGTGCTCTTTATGTCGGCTTATCAATTCTTCAACGGCTTCCCGCAACTACAAAATCCTGGTGCCGTACCCCGACCAGCTTGATTTTGCAACGACATTTGCTCTTGGGTGTTCATGGTTTGGGATCATGGCTCTTAATCGTTTAGGTTTAGGGCTTCAGGGCTTTGGGGAGTGCCTCTTGGATCATGGCTATGACAACTAGGAGCAGGGAGCTTGTATACTGCCTCGCATCTTCATGGCTAGCATCTTCTGTCAAGCCGGCCCTCATCCTTACTCATAGGGACCCTTGAACAGGCCTTATTGGGTCCTTACTATAGATATAAAGGCCCCTGCCCCCCCCCCCCCCCCCCCCCCCCCCCCCCCTAAGGGTCCCTATGCCTATGAGTCATCCCTACCAACTTCTGTAGCCCGGCCTTAGTCCGAGCTGCAAGCCCTGGAGTCCCCCGTCGGTCCGGCTGATGGATGAGGGGGAAAATGCCAGAATTCCAAGAGCTTCGGGTGGATACAGGATTTTGTGCACCACCTCAACACCTAAACCCCTCAAAACACAAAAAGCACCTAAGACCCCCTGAATCCAGCAGTTTCCTCGAACTCTGCCTCAGCTTTACGGCGGCCCCTGCCGCACGTCGCCTCGAGCAGAGGGAGCGAAACTTACGTTCCAGAGGCTCGGAGGGCCCAGGGGTCCAGGGGCTTATGGGTTTGAGAGTTTACGGTCTTAGGAGTTTGGGAGTTTTCGGGGGAGCTTAGGGGTTTTGGGCTTGAGAAGCAAGTTGCTGAGGGGTTGGGGGGGCCTTGTGGGGTTTAGAGGCTTACTTGGAGGGTCATGGGACTTAGTAATTAAGGTTATAAGTACCCTAATTGGGGTTATAAGTATAGTTACCCGAATTCTAACCCTAGTTACTAAGTCCCATGATCCTTTAAGTAGGGTTTGGGGGTTTAGAGATTTAGGGGCTTGGGGCTTAGGGGTTGCAGAGTTTGGTGGTCTGGGGGTTTAGGGGTTGGGGTTTCGGGGGTTCAGGGGTTAGGGGATTAGGATTAGCGTTTAGGGTTTGGGGCTTGGGATGTTAAAGTACTGGATGTTTTGGCGTTTTTGTTGGACCTGCTCTTGTGAGGGTTGCTTCACAGCCCAGATTTGGCGGGACGGCAGACAGAAAGACAGAGACAGACGGACGAGAGTTGACGATGAAGTTCGGAAGGTTTGCATAGGTCGTTGTGCGTGTGGCTCGGCCATGACGGTCTAGGCATGTCTATGCCGATTAATTAGAGCCTTTCTCATCTTGTAGTTTGTGTAGAATCACGCAGCTCTTGTGCACAAGGTATTTGGGCCCCTTCGCCTTAAACCCTCAACCCTGAACCGGGATCGGCTGGCACCCTAAAACCCTCAACCTGTCGCCCTTAGACCCATGCCCCTAAACCCTACTCCCGAAACCCGAAAGCCCCATTTCCTGAACCTGCAAGAGTTTGAACCTTCAACAGGAACCACAACCCCTAAACCCTACACCCCTAAAGCCCCAAAACCCTAAACCCCTAAACCCCTACACCCTGAACCCCAAACCCTGAGCTCTAAACCCTTCAACCCTAAACCCTAAACTCCCAAAGCCCCCAAACCCTAAACTCCCAAAGCCCCCAAACCCTAAACTCCCAAAGCCCCCAAACCCTAAACTCCCAAAGCCCCCAAAGCCTAAACCCCTAAACCCTAAACCCGAACCACTAACCCCTAAACCCTAAGCCCCAAGCCCTTAAGCCTTCAGCCCCACCCCGAACGGTCAGGAGCGGCGAGCTCATGCTGAAGGAGTCGGAGCCGACCCCACCTTAGAAGGAGGACTTGACTGGGTAGGGCCTTTAGGGATCTATAGGGTTCCTTAAAGGGCTCTTTAAAGGGATCTATAGGGTTCCTTAAAGGGATCTGTAGGGTTTAGGGTTTACTTAAAGGATCATGGGACTTAGTAACTAGGGGTATAGTTAGGGTAGCTATACTTATAACCCCGATTAGGGTACTTATAACCTTACTTACTAAGTCCCATGATCCTTTAAGTAGACCCTAAACCCTAAACCCTTATAGATCCCTTTAAGGAACCCTATAGATCCCTTAAAGGGACCCTTACTAAGTCCCATGATCCTTTAAAGGGCCTGTAAAGTTTGGGAGTTTAGGGTTGAAGGCCTTTGTAGGGCTTGGGGCTCAATTAAGGCATTCAGTCGTTTAGGGTTTAGTGCTTTCAGGGTGTAGGCTGGTTAATGTAGGAAGCTGATGAAGAAACCTTGGGCCTTTATTCGGGTTAAGGGTTTAGGGTTTAGGAACCTGATTATGAAACCTTGGGCGTTTATTCGGGTTCAGGGTTTAGGGTTTAGGAACCTGATTAAGAAACCTTGGGCCTTTATTAGGGTTTAGTGTTCAGGGTTTAGGGTCTAGGAACCTGATTAAGAAACCTTGGTCCTTTACTACGGCTCCTTGTACGAATCCTATTATTATGGGGTTATAGGCCCAGGGTTTCTTAATCAAGTTCCTACATTAGGGCCTTTGACGGTTTGGAGTTTAGGGTTTAGGGAACTTATGGTTCAGGGCTTAAGGCCTTTAGGATTTAGGGTTTGGTGCCTTTAGGGTTTACGGTCTTACGGAGGGTTTGGGGCCTGTAGCGTTTGGGGCTTAGCGCGTTTAGGGTTTGGGGTCAGGGTCCCCCAGACCTGATATAATATTTCCTCAGATGGCTTCCATGCGTATATAAGGCTTCTATCAGGTTTCCCCCAACCCCTAAACCCTACCCTAAACCGCTCGACCTTGAATCCCCTAAGCCTTAAACCCCTAAACCCCTACACCTTAAAGTCCTAGACCCCTAAACCCCTAGACCCCTAAACCCTAAACCCTAAACCCTAAACCCTAAACCCTAAACCCTAAACCCCTAAACCCTAAACCCTAAACCCTAAACCCTAAACCCTAAACCCCTAAACCCCTAAACCCTAAACCCCTAAACCCTAAACCCCTAAGCCCTAAACCTTTAAGCATCCTGCCAGGCTTCCACTACAAAGCCTGCTGTGCAGGTCTCTTTAATGGTTTAGGGTTCAGGGTTTAGGGTTTTGGAGCTTAGGGTTCAGGGTTTAGGGAATTAAAGTCTACTTAAAGGATCATGGGACTTAGTAAGGGTCCCTTTAAGGGATCTATAGGGTTCCTTAAAGGGATCTATAGGGTTTAGGGTTTAGGGTTTACTTAAAGGATCATGGGACTTAGTAACTAGGGTTATAATTAGGGTAACTATACCTATAACCCCGATTAGGGTACTTATAACCTTACCCACTAAGTCCCATGATCCTCCAAGTAGGGTGCTGAGACTGATAAGTGGAGAGGGGTTAGGGTTTAGAGTTTGGGGTTTGAGTTTGGCTTTAGGGCTGACAGTTTAGGGTTTGTAGGTTAGGGTTTTAGTGGTGAGGGTTTAGGTCCGAGCGGTGCGGATGCCTCCTTCCAGCCAGAACAAAAAGCTTGCCCACAAATGTTGCAAAGGGTCTGTGGCCTGTGCACAGGAGTGCAGCTGCATCCGACGATGTCTTTGCGGCCTCCAACAACTACCCCCGACCGAACCCGAGATAGACAGAGAAAAGGTGCGTAGCTTGCTAGGGTTCTGGCGGCCTTGGGGGGGGGTTCAAAGTTTTAGGGCTTGCAAGTCTGTTCCGTTCTTTTCATCTTTTCTGGCTTATGCTTCTTGTTTACGTATTTCCCAACAGCGTTCTTCCGAAATGATTTTAGGACCTTAGGCTTTCGAGATTGCTGCAAGCCGACTGAGACTTTGGGTTTTCGGGCTTAGGCATTAGGGATTCGGGTGTGGGGCCATGGACCGATGTCTGTGCATAGGTATGCATTTTTATATGTCTGTCTGCCTGCCTGCCTACCTGCCTGCCTGCCTGTCTGCCTGCATGTACTTATGCATGTATGCATGTATGTATGTATGTATGCATGTAGACCTATGGTCACGTATGCATGTATGCGTGTATGCATGTATGCGTCTATGCATATATGCGTGTGCATGTATGCGTGTACACATGTATGCATGTATACATGCATGCCTGTATATGCATGCAATCATGATGTATTCATGTATACGTACGTGTGTATGTGTATATGTTTTTGTATGTGTCTGCGTCTGTGTCTGTGTCTCTGCGTGTGTATGTGCGTATGTGTGCGTATGTGTGTCTGTGTATATGTGTGTACGTGTGAGTGAAAGAATGAATGAATGCATGTATGTATGTATGTACGTGATTACGTATGTATGTGCATGTGCGTATGCTCTACGTGCATGAGTATGTGTATGCATGCGTGCATGCATGCATGTACGGATGGATGGATGGATGGATGGATGGATGGATGGATGGAGGATGGGTGGATGGGTGGATGGGTGGATGGGTGGATGGGTGGATCAATGGATGGATGCATGGATGGATGGATGGATGAAATGCACGTAATGTGACAAACATATAAGTAATGTATGTGAAGCAATATCATGCAGGGTGATGCGATGCTGTGTGATGTGATTTGACGCACAGCTATGACGTGTCACATATGTTTATGGCTGTATGCATGCATGTACGTATGTACGTATGTACGTATGTACGTATGTACGTATGTACGTATGTATGTATGTATGTATGTATGTATGTATGTATGTATGTATGTACATATGCGCGTACGTACATATGTGCTTATGTACGTATGTAGGCTTATGTAGGTATGTATGTAAGTGCATGTATATGTATGTATGCATGAATGTATGTGTGCATGTATGCATGTATGCATACTGGAGCACTGCAGCGATTTAGGCTTTTTGATCCCATCGGTTTCTCCTGATATTCGGTCTACTGCAGCGGTTCTGCAGGGTCTGTAGAAACCGTAGGACTTCAGGACGCATGCATTTGTTAAAGCTAGTGTTACGGTTAGAAAAGGCTCAGGATATTTGCGATGCTACCCGGGCGATGGCTGCCGCGAAGGATGGAAGGCCACGGATCAGAATCTTCAACCCGAAGTGCTTTAAGGGCTTAGTTAGTGCAGGGTTCTGAACGCTATGCTGCGGATTCTAGCTGCAGAGCCCTCAGCTCTAAGCCCTAAGCCAAAGGCGCAATCAGCGTCCGAAACCCGCTCCCGAGACCTGGAGAATCTTCCAAAGTACTTGAAGGATCATGGGACTTAGCAAGTGGGGTTATAAATAAGGTAGCTATACTTACAACTACTTATAATCCCAATTAAGGTACTTATAACCTTACTTACTAAGCCCCATGATCCTCCAAGTAGGAAGACCAGAAAATTCCCAAAGTCCGCACATAGTTAAGATGGTGCAAGCTCAGAGCCCCAAGCCCTAAACCTATCTCGAGCAGCACGAAGCTTGAAATCGTTAAACCTCATCCCAAACATCCCTAGGGTTCCTGTACAGGAGTACTATAAGGGTACTATGATGGTTACTTTGGGGGGCTCTATGGGGGTTTGGGGTTTCCAAAAATCACCAAAACATTCCTCCCGGTAAAGCGAATCTCTGTAATTCTGCACGAGGGTGCCGTCCTGTCCTAGCTCTAGCAACTGTCGGCACTTCTTCACTGTGGTTCGAGGGCTTGGGATTTAGATTCTTTGTCCCCCACTAGAATTTAGAACCTTTTGCCATTTTGGTTTGGCGATCTCCTCGTTACTGTTACAACCGAATGGTAAGAAACGCGAGATCTGATTTCTGAGGGGTTATACTGGGGAACGTAGCATAGTGGGCACGTGCTACCTGGCTCCTTAAATCCACAACCTGCAAGCCGTTGGATGGACTCCATTGCCAAAAGGACACCAAATAGAGTTTCCGGATTTTTCAGGACCTCCCCACAAGGCAGATGCGAGTTAAGCCGTAGAGCCCGCCCGCCCAACAACTGTTTAGGGGTCTCGAGCTCGCCCAAACCCGATTTAGGGTGCAGGGTTCCGGCTCAGGATTTCATCTGCTTTATGCAAACCCCCAGGGCTTTAGGGAATATCCGCAGCGAGATCTGAGGATGGATGGCGCTCCCTAAACCTTAAACCACCAACACCCCAAGATTTGAACCCGATATAAACGACCATAGCACAGTCTGTTTGATCGAGTCTTCACAAAATCCTGGAAAAAGCACCCTGGCAAGACCCTACGAAGTCTTCACTAAGGAATCATCAACCTCCCTCCAATAACAAAATCCGAGATCATAAATCCTAAACTTTAAATTTCTAATCCCGATGCCCTGAAGCAAGCATCCGAAGTCTTGCACCCTAAGCCGTATCCGATAAATCCGAAACCCTCAGCCCTAAACCCCTAACCCCCCCCCCCAAAACCCCAAACCCTAAAACTTAAAATCCCACACCCTACACCCTCAACCCTAAACCCTCAACCATGAATGCCTAGGCCCTAAACCCTAAACCCTTCAACCCTAAACCGTCAACCCTATACCCTCAACCCCGAACCCTAGATCCTTCTTTTGGGGCTCGCAGGGATGATCTCGCATCCTTAGTGGACTCGACGGGCACTGGGTCCATCTCTGCTACCGTCAGCAGCCGAGGCTTAGGGTGTTCAGGGAATTAGGTTTCGGACTCAGAAGTTAGGAGTTAGGGCTTAGGTTTCGCTTTTTAGAGGTGTGGGTTTAAAGTTTAGGGTCTGGGGACCATCTGTAATATTTCCTAGGTTGATTTATTCGCGTTCAGGGTTCGCTCGGAACCCCCCACTGCGGGTGTTTGACTATGAGGCTTTCAGATGGAATCCACTTACAGGGCCCTGTGCAATTCTAAACTGGCGCCCAGGGTTTTTGGGTGTTGATTTAGGGTCGAGGGTTGCGGGGTCCTAAGCCTGATCTTATCAACCTGTGGCGTGTTAGACTTGCTTAGTCTTAAACCTAGGTAGGGCTTTGGGGCATTTTATGTTTGCTCTCTTTGGGCTTAAAGGATCTTACCTCTGAGCAGTTTTCAAAGGCTTTACAAGCACCTCCCCACGATGCAGCAGAAAGCTCTCAATGAGCCCAATGTCCGAATATTGGGTAGTTACAGTGAAATCCCTGTATAAGAACCCCGTTCCGCGAGAGTAGTCCTTCACCTAAGGTTCTTACGTACCATTACCTCTGAAGTTGCATAATGAATTCCTTGAGGTTTTGGGTTTAAGGATTGTGGTTCCGCCACAAGTACACTGGAATACACCCAAACACCCCATTCTAACCATTCAGGTCCTAGGTACGACGAGCCTAGGAGAGGCTCTTGCCGTGTGGAAGCACGGGGTTGGGGCTAGATTAGCTTTAGGTTGGGTACTGCCCCCCCACTGTGCAAAACAGCTTCGCTCCGCCTGAGGCGTATATGTTCAGGCATTGCATTTCTTCCGCTCGCAACACTTTTGCAGTCGCTAGTGCTTCTGCTTCCGCCTCTCTCCGCCTCCCTAAGAAGTGCGGCGGGTGTTTTGGTTGAAGTCGCATGTATGTCTACTTAAAGGATCATGGGACTTAGTAACTAGGGTTATAACCAGGGTAACTATACTTATAACCCCAATTAGGGTACTTATAACCTTACTTACTAAGTCCCATGATCCTCCAAGTAGCTGACTCACCGTGTTGCATGGCTCAAAAAACAGAGGACGAATAGAATAAGGATCTTATTATTAAGGGTACTATATTAGGGTCCCCTATTTTCGGAAACTCTAAACCCTAAACCCTTTATAGAACCCTTATAGATCCCTTTAAGGAACCTGTTGAAGGTGTGCACCCTGGGTGGCCATACCCTGCAGCGAAGCTCACGCAGAATGTTTTCTATGGCTGGGCGCAGAGGCGACTCACGATCTCAACGAAGCAACAAGAGAACCGACAAACCAACAGACGACCTGTACAGCTTTACAAGTTGCTGGTTACAGTACACATGGCTCAAGAGGCTTTCCTACGCAGCCTTCCCCTAAGCCAAAGGATACAGGAAACACACATGCACAAGCCTACCTGAAGGAAACTATACAAGTGCCGGCAATCCCTTCAAGCAGACTACACACCTGTCTAACCTGATACCTGGGCATGCAGTGAGAAGCATTTCAACACTCCTCCTTGCTAGAGCCGACAGGCAACTAGCACACGCTGCACTATTTACAGCATGCCCGTTCCTGGGACCTCTAGCCTTGAACCTTGGCTTGCCTTTAGAGACCTGTGCGGTGGCGGTCTCTGCAAACACGGCACAAGTTGCGGGTAGTTAAGGGTGTATTACGCCTTAAACCCCAACAATTAGAATCTAGATGAACACAATCCCCGTGCGCAGTGAAGTAAAAGGGACCTTGGGGAAGTTCATACTGCGTGCGGATTTCGATCCTGGCAGGCATCGGATCTGGTGGGACTCCTGTGACTGGTTGGAAAGCAGGCTCACGATCCGTTTGAGTAGACTGCTCACGCACTGCAGGGCGGCGACGAGACTGTGTGGCCTTGGGCCGTGGTGCAGCAGGCAACTCGTGGGAGGACTGCGAAGGCACAGGTGCCCTCTCGTTGTGAGCTGTGGACTCACCTGCTGGTGGTCTGGAAGACACGTCCTCAAGACTCATGCCCTGCAGTTGGGCAGCAAGCTCATCCTCAACAGCTCTCTGCATACGCCTCAAACGACGGGCTCGACGAGACGACGCATGCGAACCAGCCCACCACGCATCAAGCCGATCCCACAATCTCTTCAACCACTCCCACACAACAAGGACACAAACCAATGCCATGCCAAGAACGAAGTACAGCTCCAGGGATCCATCAAGCTGCAAGCCAGGATACTCGGATTCACGGCTTGAGCTTCGTGCAGGTTGGATCTGAAGCAAACACAACAAGGCACTCAACGCGACTGGGTCGACAGCTGCTGACGAGCTCGGCCTGACCTCTCGGTCGGCTGTATCACCCGCAAAGTCACGCATGCCCCATAACCTGACAAGCTCTTCAATCCTTGCAGACGGAAGAGGTTTGGTCAGTAGATCTGCAAGCTGTTCCACACCCGGGCAGAAGGCAAGCCTCAGCTTCCCAGAGCGAGTCTGCTCACGAAGGTACTCAGCTCTTACCCGTAGGTGTCGCGTTCTCCATGATCCATGACCGTCAGAAATCGCAAGTGACGCTTGGGAATCAACGTGCAAAACCCTTTCTTCCGCAACGTCAAAACCAACCGTGTGAAGCAACGCCTCAATTGATTCAAGCGCGATTGCACACTCAATCGAAGCAGTGAGTTCACTTTCAGCAGTAGAAAGTGTCACAAAAGCTTGACGCGCCGACCTCCAAGCAACTGGACATCCATGCACACACACGCACCAGCCTCCATGTGAGCGAAGGCCTTCTGGCGAGAAGCTTGCGTCACTCCAACCGTGAAGTTGGGTTCCGTCCGCCTCAAACACCAGCGACGCTGTCTTGGTTCGCTGCAAGTAAGCCAAGGCACGGTCAGCAATGCGTAGAGCACGACAAGGCGCCTTCGTAGACAAACTAGCAAGCAAGCTGGCAGTGAACGCCAGGTCCGGGCGAGTACGTTGAGACAACCACAGCAGTTCACCAGTCACCTGTTGCGCGCGGTGAACGGCCTCCCCGTCAGGGGGGCTGGAGTCTCCTTCGCCAACTTCAAACGACGCTAGCTCCCGAGGACAAGGGATTCTACCCCTCACGTGGCAAGGTACCTCATGAAGCCGCAAGACTTCTTCTGCGTACGACTGCTGTGAGAGAACAAACCCACGAGGAATGACAATGATGTCCACGCCAAGGAACTTGATCGGCTGCTCTGGGGTAGCTACCACAAACGGTGTTGTGGCCCACTTTTCTTGCAGAGCCTTTGCCAAACTTTGAAGGACACCTAGCGACCCACACAACAAGAAGTCATCAACGTACACCAACAATGCGCCCTCAACGCGACCACCTTCAACCCTGACGACTTTCCACCAGTTCGGGTCTAGGGTCGAAGGCTCAAGCCGGTAGGTCACGCCGTCAAGGTCCCACACCAACGCTGCCAAACAAGCATCTCGATACTGTCCCCACAAGCGCGGGGCCTCTCGAAGGCCGTAAACCGCGTGGGATAGTATCCACAGCTCATGTGCAACTGCAAGACCAAGCTTGACCAACAAGCGGGGCGGGGTCAACGCAAAGATGGGGAAACCTTCAAGACAAGGAATAGGCGTTTTGAGGAACGCGCTGGTGATATCCAACACTCCCAACAACCAACCAAAGAAGCTTGCCAGGGCAATCACTGTTCTCAAGCTCTCAGCCTGAGCACCTCCAGCATACACATCCAAGCCTGTATTTGGCGCCACATTTCCGCAAGCAACAAGTCTCGCTTTCCGACGGTACAAACCTTGACCTTGCGACGAAGCCTTTGGAGCGCCCTGAAGGGCCTCTGTACTGACGTCGGGCTGAGTGAGCGCAAGCTTTCCAGTGTCACCAACAGCTGCTGCCCCTTGGTCGGGCGGTTTCACTGTGAACACAAACTTGGAAGGTACCACCTGCAGTCGAGGATCACCCAAGTACTCGGCCTGCCTGGGGTCTGAAGGGCGCAGTCTGAGCACAGCATGCTCAATGGCCTTTACTTCTTTCTCAACGGACGGAATCCAAGGGATTGGATTGAGTGCGACTTCTGCGGGGTCTACAGTGTGAACTATTTGCAGAGGTGAGCTTAGGTTGCTTAGAAGGTGTTCTATGTTCTTCGTGAACGTCGGTTCGGCTTTGCACAGGCGGTAGGGAATTACGGGTCTACCTTCGCTTACGAAACCCTCCTCCTCTAGCGAGCTACGCGAACCACTTTCTACAACCTTAAGCACCCTCAAACTGCAGTTGCTGGCGTTTGCGGCATCGCTCATGGGCTCCTGCGGAACATACATGTCCCAAGACACAGTAACCGGCCAGGCCTCATCAATCTCAACGGGTCTTTGGTTCTGCTCTGGTCCGGCCTCCTCTTTAGAGGGGCTGCATACAGGGGCAACTGGCCGATACGAACACGACCAGTTCACAGCGAAGTCTACAAACCCATCTGCAACTGGAAAGACCTCTTGCCAACCACCACCTTTGTTGACGGGTTGGCTCTCCGGGAAGCTAGGGTGTTGATGGATAGGGATCTCATGAGCCTCAGTGGCCTCCTCCTCCTCCTGTACTTGAGACAGACGCGGGGCCTGGAGATAGGCGGAGTCTGGGAGAGGAAATCCCAAATCTGCTAAGCCGTCAAGGTCATCTTTTTCGGCCTTTCCAAGCACGTCGGAAGTGTAGCCTATAACAACGACGCGGGTGCCCTTGAAGGGAGTTACGAAATGATGCCGCTTAGGATCAAACTCGAAAACTTCATCCTCTTCAAGTCTGTGCACCACACCGTGACGCTTGCGACCTCGTGCATCAGTGTGCTCTACAATAGACCCCCTAACAACATCCCCACTACCTAACTCAACCCAAAGATCGCCCCCACGCTTAGGAAGACACACTGGTAGGATGAGGTTTGTAGTTCCCGGAAGGTTGGAAGAATCAGTGTGAATGTCCTTTTGACACGAGTTGGACAGACACACCGACGTGAAGGTAGCATCAGGTGCATGATGCTGCAACA